TTTTGTGCTTCCACTTTGCCCCGTACTACCGCGTCCTTCAACAAATGGGCCCGCGGGCGGCGCAGCTGATGGCACGGCTGCCGGGGGCAAGCAACCAGCAGACCCGGCACGCCCGGCGGCTGTACATCGGCGGGTGCCCCAAGACGACGGAGGAGGAAATGTCCAGCTTCTTCAACGAGGTCATCAACCGCGCCCTCGAGTACCCGATCGATGGGGGCGCCGTGGCTTCCGTCTACGTGTCTCAGGAGAAGGTGGGGGTAGATAATTGGGAGGCTTCTTGAGGTGATTTGGTGGATTTGGGAACAAGTGGCATTGGGCGATGTTGGACATGAGGCGCTCTTGTTGAATGTGACGGGGTTTTGAATTGGGGTGCCGTGAGGGGCGAGATCTCGAAGGGGAAAGAAACCAAGTTTCTCGAAGGGGGCGGGGGGCCGTGGTTGGAGTACATTGGTCGAGCCTGATCATATGGAACGGAGAAACACCAACACGGTAGCAGCACGCACATAGATTCCCTATCGATGATTCTGCTACTACTGCAGGCCGGCGAAATTTAGCAATCAATGAACTTAACTTGCCGCTGTCCCCTTGGCATGACGGTGCCACTAGAAGCTATGAAGTAGTGTGGTGTTCTCATGGTCGCGTTTGGAAGTTTTCAATACGTTGTTGCCTACCTGACACTCTCTGCTCGGTTATCTGTTGCCTGAAGTGAAACGTTCGCAATCCGATGCTCGGCCAGGCGTTTGCCTTCCTGGAGCTCAAGACGATGGAGCTGGCGACGGCTGTCCTGGAGCTGGACGGGATCGTGTACAAGGAGACGCAGCTCAAGATGCGCCGCCCCAGCGACTACAACCCACAGCTTGTCCCCGCGGCGTGAGTTTTTGTTTCTTTCTCCTATGCATTGCTTTCAAACGGCATGAGTGTCGTTGTCCGCTCCTTTGCATGTGCTGACATACGGTGTGAGTTTTGCTGTCTGCTCCTATGCATACAAACGGTGCAGCTTTTCGTGGCTTTGGTGTTCCTAAGCATTTTTTTTTTCTTGGCGTACCCGTTTGTGTAACGTGCCTGGTGTGTCTGTCGTATGCGCGTGCTACCGCAAATGTTCGCAATACCAGGCGATGAGATTATTTCCACATGGACCGTCTGCGTTCCGTGGTACTTGCTGTGCGTGTCTGCATTCAGTTTTTAACTTGTTTGCGCACCCGCGGCGCCTCCGACAGCGGCACACTAGGATGAGCCTGCCCCCCTGACACAATGACGGTATGATCCTCAACCACTACCCCATTTTCTAGAAACTACAATGACTTCTCCTGTGGCTTAGGTCTGCCGTTAGCGTGGCGCATTGATGGTGCGGAGTGTTTGCAACAGCGGTAGCGCAGAGCCGGCTTAGAGTTGGTGTGAACGTCTTCGATCGAAGACCTTTGGAGGCCAGCGCTTGAGTGTAGAGCCAATGGAGCTTCGTCGGACAGTTTTGGTACTGCCCACTTGCTGCCGTGCAAAGAAGCAATGCAAGACATGATCCTGTTTCGTTGTAGGACGTGGTCGCTGTCAGTGTGTTCTCTCTCCCTATGGTGTTTCATCTCCCGGTCCCACCTCAGGTCCGTTGAGTGTTAAGGATTTGTTTGTGTCTCCTTAACATGCCATTTAGTATCTTTGCTATTGTCATGCACGATCGATCGATCGACATTGCTCTTAGCAAGGCGTTGTGCATGTTCGTGTCGATATTGCTCGTGTGTGTGCTCCAGGTCTGGGCCAATCCCCAAGCTCAACCTTTCGGTTCTGGGTATCATCTCCAGCACAGTCCCCGACAGCGACAACAAGGTCTTCATTGGGGGACTTCCTTACAACCTCACGGAGGACCAGGTGCGGGGTGTTTGGGTTTTTCTCGAACTTTATTTTTGTGGGGATTCATCCGCCGGGCAAAATGTCATCCCTTCCATGAGGAGGGACGTGTTCATCTAGCTTTATTCGGCAGCCTGGTGGGCGTCGGCTGCTGTTGGTACCAGACGTTTGAGTTATGTTGCGAAATGACGCAAGTCGTTTGCCCTATCTCGTGGTAGAGTTGGCATATGTCTCCTGCGGTAGTGACGACGTCGTGTTGAGGTCGCGTTGGTGGTGGTGCTGATATGATCCACGCCCCCTACTTGCTGCAACATATGCAGATCTGTTTCAGTTGCTTCCCCAAGACCAGCCCATGCCTAACCCTCGAACACCAGCCGTACGAATACATACAACTCTCTTTTCTTTCATGTTCTCGATATACTGCTGTGCCGACTTTTGCCCCGGCCGGCATGAACATCTCGCGGACCCCCCCCCTCCCTCCCCCCCCCTGCCTTTCCCTCAGGTGCGCGAGTTGCTGAGTGCGTTCGGGCCTCTCAAGTCTTTCCACCTCGTCAGGGACCCTGGCTCGCCCACGTCGAAGGGCTACGGGTTCTGCGAGTACCTGAATGCGGGGGTGACCGCCATCGCCTGCGAGGGTCTCCATGGAATGACGCTCGGTGATAAGACGCTCACGGTCCGTCCCGCTACCGATCGAGGGTGAGATTTAGGTAGAGAGAGAAGAGGGGAGAGAGAATGAGGCGCGCGGGGGAGGGAGAGAGAGAGAGAGAGAGAGAGAGAGAGAGAGAGAGAGAGAGAGACCCAGAGGAAGAGGCGTAGTGTTCGGTTGTTGCACTCTTCGGCGAGTGCAGTTTGTGACACCTTGCAACGCTGTTTGCGTACTACCCGCGTCTCATACCATACCATGTCATACACCGGGCTGGGCTCCTCCGCCCATGCATACCTCAATTAGCGTTCTGGCTTGCTTCATTCTTGTCGGGTTGGTCGGAACCATTCACTCTTGGAGCGCTCATGTCTTGTCTTGCCTCGTCGTCACCACTTAGGACAGCACCTTCCGTTGTTTTGTCCATGGTCTAGATGAATTTACGCTGAGCCATGTCTGTGCGAGACAGTCGTGATGGGAAGAACTCGCTGGTGCCGCTTCGTTTCGTGCTCGAACGTTTTTTGTTGCACCAGTTCGTCTGGCGGACAGCAGCAGCAGCAACAGCAGCAGCAACACTACCAACAACAGGCCATGCCTGGCATGCAGATGGGCGGAGGACAACAGATGGGGCTCACGGCTCCGCCGACTCAGCAAGAACAAATGCAGTTGGCACAGGTGTGGATGAATAAATTACGGCGAGCACAGCAGCAGGATTGGCGGGGCGACGAAGCTTCTAGTTGAAACCCAACTTTATCTGTTTCCTTTATTTTCTCGATCTAACAAGGAACGTTCGGTGGCAAAATGTTTTCATGCGGATTATCTGCTGACTTTTCTCAAGCTAACCGTTCGGAAACGCATGCTCTGGACTTGTTTGTCGGGTGGGCTATCTACAGGCTATGGCCGCTCTGGACCCCAACGCCTCGCAGGCCGCTATGGCCTCCTTGGCACAGGGCGGCGCTGGCGCCGTTCCCTCTGCCGCGGCGGAGTCTGCGGTCGCTGCCAATTTGATCCGCGCCATCCCGCCAACCCGAGTGTTGGTGATGCTCAACATGGTGACCGAGGCAGAGCTGAGGGACCCTCAAGAGTACGAGGTGGGTGGGACTAAAATATTGCGCACTAATACGCTGGCAACGCCTTTTGGAAGGTGTTTTCTGAGTTGTTGTTGCCGGCCCTTTTTACTCCCGAAAGAAACGAGACTATTGAAACGTTTGTAGAGTGAAATATACTCCGAGTATTCGTTTCCGTTTTCGAGGTAAGGGACAGTCTTGCGCAGCGACGGTAGCAGCACCAGTACCAGCACCAGCAGCGTGCTTGCGTTTCGTGCTTGTCACAACAATTTTTTGTTTCTGAAACAAACGTGTTGGCAACATTGTCATCTGTCGTGTCGAGGACACACCACGCCGTTTTCGAGACGAGCTCCCTCCGGCTTGGTGGATGCTCTTTGCGTGGCAATCGGTTGTATTGTGGTACTTAAATCACTATGTAACCTTTCTGAAATCACTCGTTACCATCCGAAACGGCGAGCTCTTTTGTTTCATTATCACGACCTCTGGCTGATGGTAATGAGACTGGCCGTTGTTGGAATATATATTTTGATGATTCTACGACCATCTTTTGGATCGGAATGTACTATGGTGTGCACGTTCATGTGCAGTGTATCGACATGGTCTTGGCTGCTATCGACTCTCGAGAAAAAAATGGTTCTCTCCCTTTCTAGGGTTCTTTGGAATATGAAATGCTTAGGCTCACTGCTGCTGTGTCGCGCGTGGCAAGCAAAACGTCGTCACGTGGTGCTATTCTTCCAAGATACCGCTTCATTTGGAGAGCGTCCTCAGACCATTGTGCTGTTGTCGGCGCTTGTTGCTGTTCCAGGACATCGTGGACGACATCCAGCAGGAGTGCTCATCTCACGGCACCGTGCTGTCGATCATCGTGCCTCGCCCTGGAGAGGCAGACGCCAGCCGTGCTGTAGGTGAGAGATACTGCCCATGCTCCTGCTTGGAACACGCTTACATTCCCGACGCAGTTACCTTCCCCCCCCCCCCCCC